TCAATGGTCAAGCCAATGACTCCGTGTTTATCAGTGATACATGGACCCCTGTTCAGCTAGAAACTGTCAATTTCTTATTTTGGTGAACAGCAGACGGGGCAAACCCTATAGTCACGAAGACTTGCTGCTCCGTCATGGAAACCGATAACCTGAGCCTCGGGACTTGGAGTGGCTAGTGGCCTCGCTAGGTCAGGCTTGGACATGTGCTACGCATGTCACCAAATATGTTGCCACGGCGAGCGATGTTCGCTGAGACAGGAAATGGGTTGATGAAAGCCAAGAGTGGTCAAGCTAAGACCTGGTACGAGGGTATGAAATCCCTAACCAGGAAACTGGGTCACATAGGTCCCGTTAGGCTCCCTGGATGGGCACCCCGATATCATGATCACCGGTGGTTAGAGACACTGAGCGATATGGCTGATTGTTGCAAACAGTGGCGCTCATGCATCTACTTATTATTCTACTAACCCCCGTCTTTATGAATTTTCTATGTTCCGCTTAAATTCACTCTCAAAATTCCAATCTCCATTCTGCTCTTTTATCCAAATGAGCAGTGCATTGAAGCCTCTATTCGGTAGATTCCGTTTGGTGAGTGCATGCAGATTCGGGGCACATGGACACAGAAACAGGAACCTTGTGTGGTTACTCTCCTGTTTTTTTAATTCATTTTTCTAGTGCCTAATTTAAGGTATTCTGAAGTGTCATCCTGATGATTCGACTGTGTAGGGAGTGGATGTGGGTGAGGCCATCCGGCTTACGGAACTCCGCAGACTGTTTAAATGTGAACTGAACTTCGTTCTGACTAACATATATCACTTCTTATCAAACCAGAATGCCTCAAGGTCGTTATGCATAGTTAGAGTGAGTATACCGTTGGATCCACTCCACAATCACCTTACTCATTCTTTTTTATATCTTGTATACATCATGAGTTTGACAGCAATCAGTGACGTTCGCTTCATTGTGTTTTGCTTTTTGATCATGAAGATGACGATGACCTGCGAGTCGGGCTTCATAAAGTTGTCATCAAGTTTATCTGCTCAACAGGCTGACGAACAGGCTCCGTACATGACATGACGTGACGTACTGGGTTGAATGCAAAGAAAATCTCAATTTGGAAACAGCTGCTTCTGCAGTAGAAAACCGTTTCGCTGAGTTGGTTTGGCGGATATCTGCCGCTTCGCCAGAAAGCGACAACAAATGCATTTAAGTTGGATATGAATGGGGAGATGAAGGAAAACGGATTCTAACTAAAAAAATTCATTGCTTCACCGTACACTTTGTGATGCCTTGTCTCTTTCGTGCTTTTGTTTTATGACGAAGCAGTTCAGTTCGGTTCGTTCAACCATGCAACCTTCTGTGCCGGTTTTGGTTGCTGTCCTCTGGCTACCCATTTGGTTGGAGCAGGAGGCGAAATACAGAAAAGTTGATAGTACAGTCGAACAGAAAATGGAAAATTTCAGTGGTCTAAGGTTGCAGCCAAATTGATCGTCACTGTTTACGACAAACAGTCATATCACTCAGTGTCTCTAACCATCGGTTACGACCATCGTGAGGTCCCCGGCCAAGGAGCCTAACGGGACCTATGTGATCCAGTTTCCTGGTTAGGGATTTCATACCCTCGTGACAAGTCTTAGCTTGACCACCCTTGTCTTTTTCTTCCCATACTTGCCTCGGCAAAAATCGCCCGCCGTGGCAACATATTTGTTGACATGTGTAACACATGCCCCAAACAGTGTAATCTGTGAAGGCCGACCACTTGCTCTAGTGGGTGATCGCGGTTAATCAAAACTCTGCACCTAACCTCAGCATTGCTCATCCGGATGCCACACCAGATTTGTGCAAAGCTGCGTGGACGGCGGTGTTCAGACATCGACAATCTATCTTTATCCCCCTTCCTTGATGGTCAAGTTTCTGCGCCATATAGCAGAACTGGTCGAACTGCTGCAGCATGCACTCGACCCTTCACAGACTGCCGGATGTCACGACGGCGCCACAGGTGTCTGAAGTTGACAAATACCAATCGCGCGTTCTTTGTGCGAGCTGATACTTCTTCCGTGACACGTCCACCGGGTGAGATCTAGCCGCCCACGCATAAGGTTTCTACGGACAGACCGTACAATAGTCACATCACTGATCTCTGTTTTTGGCCTCATCTCTCAGCGTTTCCATCCAACGACAGCTTTCATTCCCTTCACCCCCAACTGAAAGGCGGGAAACCACAACTGCAATCGATACCGATACTAACTAGCTTGTACCCGTACATCAGGCCTTGATCTTATCACCGCGTTGTTTCATCCAGCCTGACGCAGTACGTTTGCAGAGAACACGCGGAGGTAGACGATAAGCACTGTTACACAGTATGACTGAACCATCCGAGGCGCTGTGAAACGAAATCCGTCTTCTGAGAGTGATCATCAGCACCGAATCTATTACCATGATAAACCTCTCGATTGCTTACCGGACATTCCCACCAAACTCGGTGCACTCCTGTCGAATCAACCTTTTGTAGTGAACCTAAATCGTCCCAACCGTTTATCAATAATTAACTGTCTCTTGAACCGATTTAAGTGGCATTGCTGGTGCATTTTTGGGTCGATAGTTGAGTATGGCTGAGGTCAAACATGACATCAACTTGTCCTTATCACGATTTCTAATGACAATAAACGCAGAGAGAAAGAAACTGCAGATGTTTGAGACATCAAATATTGATTTTTATAATGCAGTAACGCGCCTCGCAGATTTAATCAACCGGATACAAAACGTCTCGTTTCACTAGACAATAACCGGCGTCCTGCTTTCTGCCTGTTTTTTGTCAATACATAGCTCCAGATATTTGTCAGCTATTACCGTCTACCTTACAAATGCCAGTTCCTGTTAAACAATACACAGGCTTAAATTTGCACGTCTCAGGACAGGCACCCATCACAGTTCATGAATCTTCGGTTTCCGATAACTTTTCGAGCACGTGTCTATGCAAAACGTACCCTCAAGAGTGGGAACGTGAAAGTGATCACTCCTAGACAGACAGGCTCCTCTGTCCGAGAGGGGTCGCACCAAACTACGGACGTCGCAACCATCATTGCTACCGTGGTTAATTGGTGTATTCCATCCATTTGTAGTATTTCAAACCCTTCCACCGCCGCCGCTTCATCCAAATGAGAAACCAAAAGACAAACCATAATCGGCGCACGAAAGTGCATGGTTGGTGGGTGTACAACTGAAATTGGAACAAAGGGAAGTGAAAAAGTGATGTGGTTATGATCTCTATCGTCATTGCACACGCTAATACGATGAAGCGAACTCAAAGGCAATGTGTGTGTGTGTGTGTATTAGGTGGACCACGAAACAAAACAATGTGAATCGCTATGGGCATCATACAGACTGCACATGACATACATACCTCTTCGAAAAGTTTTAACGGCTAAGAAATGACAAACACATTATTGCTGTCGATCCGCTGCTTCCATGTAGTTCATCGTTCGCGCAACCAATCAACACTCAAATTCGCTATCACTATAGTCTCGTAGCTCAACTGGTAAAGTGTGTACCAATACAGAGGAGCATTGGCGGTGTTTATGCCTGAGGTTCAACTCAACTGATCTTTCCACCAGCTTGGGGAAAACACCTCTGTCCTTTTCTTCTTTCTCCTCGGTTGATTTTATAGCAAAAAAGCCAATGTCTGCGTATCAAGTTGGTGGATCGTTTTAAAATCCCAGCCCCAATCGTGGGCTAACATGTGATTTCAGTGATTTCATTCTCTCGCGATTTCACTGACACTGCCTTGGGATGTGAAAGATATTGATTGGTCCGTTGAGCAAATAGTCTAAAACAGTGCTTGGTGGTGGCGCAGTGGTTTAGTCGCTTTCACTGATTTGCTTTGGACCCTATGGTCTGAGGTTCGAGCCCCGCCACCACCACCGGACTTTGGTGGTAGGCAACTTTGCTGTTGTCCGGTTCTATACCACTCCAGACCTATCGGGCCTCTATATAGGATGCCACTCCAAGTCCCGCAGGGCTTGGGTTACCGGTTTCCATCATTGAACAGCAGGTCTTTGTGACTATGGGTTCCGCCCCGTCTGTCGTTCACCACACAAATGTGCGATAAAAAAAGAGTATGAGACCGGGGGATGAATTGATAGAAATTCCTAATTTGTTTATTTTATACAACTGCCGTACCATATGCCATTAATTCATTGCAAATACTGCATTAACTGTGGCGTTCCTCATTTCTGACTCGAGGTTGTAGTTTTTCTAGTGCCTCAAATATTTCTTGCTGTTACTCTTATTAATTGAGCATTACCGGTTTTACACAGTCTGTTGACTGTGAAAAACCGGTTGCACAATACTCGGATGCATTTGCTTGACTGTATCTGACATTTAGGGTCGGAGACTTTCTTCAAAGCAAGCATTTTCATTTGTCTCACAATTCATTATAGTGCGAGCGTGCTTATGGAGTTGTCTTTCGCACGTCGATCCAACCCGAAAAAGTCCACCATATGGGCAAAACTTGGTCTGAATATGTACTCTCGTGTGTTCCCATCGATGCTCCCACCCTAACTCTTATTATTTCTGTCTCCGGTTTTGTGATTCAACGTATTCGTTTGCTTATGATCCTTTGTTGTTTTGTGGTACATCTCATCATTATTCACGAAATGTCTACGCCCTGAGCATTCCTCATCTTTTCTTACTTTTTCATCCCCGCGTCCAGACGACTTCTAACAAAATCCATACTGACCAAGACGTATCGCGGGGCGAGCAACAATCGGGGGAACCGCGATTGTCCGCAACCAATCGATATTTTCGTCGCTCCCTATCCGGGCAGTTCACCCTAGCCGTGCCCGAGGGAAGCGATACAGACTGGTCCAATGCTAGCCCGCTAGCCAGTCGCCTTCTCCCGTTCGGTTTCCTCTGTCACATCACAGTAGAAACATTGATCGGGGAAGTGGATCCGGACGTGCCCTGGTCCAATTACACTCGGTACTACTATGCCGAAACGTGTAATACAGATCATGCGGACTTTTTGTGGAATTCCGTGGATGCCAGTGTCGGTTTCGATCACACGGAACGGGGGGACTGTGTGGGTGGATCACAACGTTCCTCCGTGAACGTGTGGACATCTCGTTTCGGTGAAGAAGCTCAAGGCTTGTTCACAAGCGAACTGAGCGATGCGGAAGAACTGGAACAGATGTTGACCAATCTGTTGTTGAGCGCACAAAATGAACACACCAATGCAGACGAGGGTCACACAATGGGAGCTAGCACCTGGAATAGAGCGGAAAGCATTTGGCTCGGTAGTGAATCGCACTTGCTATCAGAAGAGGTGGACAAGGATGATGATGATGATGATGATGATGATGATGATGATGATGATGATGATAAACATGAAGATAACGCTGATGATGAAAATCATTCCACACATTCTCTCAATGCGTCTCCCACTGAGTCCAGCCATGATTGCACGGCGGAAAGAAAACTCGGCATTTCAACTTCTCCATTGAAAATATCCATCGGTGTCCTAGATTGGTCACCTTCAAATAACCACTCCAGCACGACCGACTATCCCTGTGAATCGTCTCCAACGAATACCGGTGTCCAAACCAATCGCCATCCGGATTCAGTAGAGTTTTCCGAATCAGTAGGTGTTCACCAACCACCACCGGATATTGATAAATCCGGCATACATTATACCCCGACTCGTCCAACTCCAGGTTCAAATCCGGATGCAGTTTCACACCAAGCGGAGGTTGACACGAATCCGGCACTGTTTTCGTCGTCCTCGTACAATAAACTTTTAGACACGCCTTCACCCGCATCCGAGGCTACAGAAAACCATCCCGATGAGACAGAGGAAGCGGTGGAACGTCCGACGCGTCCGTCGTTGCGGATTGAATTAAGCCCAGAGGAGTACAATTTGTTGCCTGTCGAAATTCAAGCAATCCTGGAAGAGCCCACCCTGGATCTTTCCTTTTTCTACCCGGTGGTTGAACGATATGGCTCATCCGATTGGCACATCCATCCCCATCAGTTTTTTCTATTCAAACAATTCCTTCTGACACTCCGACCGTACACGTGGATTCTATCCCAAACGCGGTGGCCACCGTTCTTGGCACCTGGACGTGGCACTACATTGACCATGACAGATTTCTGGTTGTGTACCGAGGATGATATGCGTGCATCCTCGTCACAACTGCGACACGATCTGCTTCAACATTGTCGTCGTCGCCTCAATCGGCAGGACTGTTCCATACTGCTTGTGGACTCCTTGGTAAGTATATTCCGAAATAGCCACCAGTCGTAAACATGTGCAATCTGACCTTGTTCAGACAATCTGAAGTGGCACCTTTTCAATCAGCATTTTATAGTCCTTTCTACTTGCAATTATTCCATTAGTCCGGTTCTTGTCTGTGTATATTATATTTTCATCCAAGTCTAAATCCAGACTGTGCCCCAAACAAATCATGGTACAATAATCTATATAAAAAAGAAAAATGTTTCATGCTTTGCATGTGGGCGGAATACGGCCAGGTTGCCCAGGCCAATGCAGGTGAATTTTCTTGAGGAATCCACAACCGGAGCCTTTGGTTAGCCAAAGCCTGATCCGCCAGGCAGCCAGGCGGTGTGCAATCCATGGGGGAGGGGCGTTGTCCAGTTCATCAAATCATACACCCTTTGGACGAAATCAAACGTCCAAGGTGCCCAATACACCTCGGTGTCCAATCGAGCCGGTGACCACTGCCACAAACAGGAAGTTGTGTATCGTTCGTGCGCCTCCTCACGATTGGTTTGGAATCAGGGTTATTGGCCAACTCCGCTAAGCGAGAATTGCCAGTGGTCCACCAACCCGGATGTCGGCTTTTCGTCCTCTCACTCTGGTGGGAAAACACCTACGCCACGAGAAGGCAGTGAGTAAGGCTTCCTCAGCATAGGCTATTCGAGACGCTTGGTCATATGGGAGTATTTAGCGAAATGCAAGGGAAGGGTAACCAGCCGCAACCCTAGACACCCATCCTCAACCATGCTGAGGCTTTTGAAGGCTTTTAGGGTTCTTTTCTACCCGAATTGGTTCATCAGACTGAAAGATACTGTCCGTGCAACCGACTGTTTGTCGTAAACAGTGGCGTTCGTGCATCTCAATTTCTCTGCTTCATTAGTTCACTGAATTTCACAATTTTCTCTTCGATCCTACTGTCAACCATCTTGTTTTCCTCCTATTGTTCACCCAAATGGACAGCCAAAAGACAGCAACCAAAAGCGTCGCACTAAAATGCATGCTTAACGGTTCAAAAACCAAAGGTTAAAGATTTAGTTTGGGAATAACTTACAAGGTCATGCTTTTCTCGTCCCATAGGTTCGTGTGGTGGTTAAAAACATTGATACATACAATTCCTTTTGTACAATGTCACGTGATACGCGCTTCTCCCACTGCTGCCCGCAGCTTCACTGATGCTGGAATGTAAGCCTTGCTAATGTTTCTTCCAGTCTCAGTTTAAAAGATTCAATGCTTGGAGCACAGACGACGTGGGATGGGAGAGAGAGTTCCAGATCAAACACACTGACTGCAAATGACTGACGCCGGCATTCCAAGCGGCGTTTTGAGACCAATAGTTTGAATTGATGTCCTCTAAGATGAACGTTGGGTGATAATTTCAGAAGCGGGCGACACGAATGGCTTGGGTTTTGCATTATTTGGTATACCATAATCATATCTTCTCTGATGCGCCGGTTGTGATTGAAATATAACCCCAATGACTTCAATCTCTCTGAGTAGGACCACCGATTCAATTCCCTGACCATTTTGGTGACCATCCTTTTTGGACGCTCCAGCATTTTGCAATCATGTTTTAGCCATGGCTTCCATGCCTGGATAGCATACTCTGTGAGTGGGCGAATGTATGCTGATAGCAGACGGGGGGAAAGCGCTGACTCAAACCGGCCAAAGACCCGCTTAAGCAAACCGACATTCTTTAGAGCTGCGTTGGACACCTTGGGGCAGTTGAATGAGCAGCTTAAGTTTTATTGAATGACGATGCCCAAAAGTGAGCAGTAATACAGGATCACACTTTTCTCACACGAAGGTGTGCCTGTGCGACAAACGAGGTTACGGGATACAAGAAAGTTAGCGTATTTTGCATTGCAACGGGATATACTTCGGGTGCACTCGAGTTAAATGATGAAACTGAAACTCACACAAAGATTAATAGGCTTCACCCTCCAGCCCAACAACTTGCTGTTCACGAATGTCGGATACCGCATATAATTCTTTAAACCATAAATTTGTCGAAAATGTATTGATTAAATGGAGGCAGGACTACTAATGATGACAATAGTCCTGATGACCATACAGTTCAGTTCAGTTTGTACAATCATTAACCATGCACCTTCGTGCGCCGGTTTTGGTTGCTGTCTTCTGGCCGCCCATGCGGATGACGGATTAGGAGTGAGGTAGGATAGTTGAAAGTAGAGTCAAAGAGAAAATGGAGAATTTCAATAGGCTGAGGTTGCGAAGAAATTGAGACAATGCGCGAACGCCACTGTTCACGACACTCAGTCATATTACCCTCAGGGACCCAACCACTGATTACAACGATCTCGAGGTATATATATATTTTTTATTGCACACCGGTCTGTGATGGGCAGCAGACGGGGTGGAATCCCATAGTCACGAAGACCTGCTGTTCAATGATGGTAATCGGCACCCTAAGCCCCGGGACTTGGAGTGGCGTACCACATAAGGGCTCGCTAGGTCAGGCGTGGTATTGAACCAAGCGACAACAAAGGAGTCTACCACCAAAGTGGGGCGGGGCTCGAACCTCGGACCACAGGGTCTAGAGCACACCTGTGACAGCGACTGAACCACTGCACCACACGCATCTGACGCCAGACTATGTGCCAAACAAATCCCGAGGTCCCTAGCCAGGAAGCCCAAAGTGACCAGTAAAGCAATAACACCGAGTAGAGTGAGCGGTTAGTGTCGGTGTGATATACCATTTTGCGAAGAAGTAATGTTTTACTCGAACCGAAAGTTTGCGCATGCCGTGTCACAGTGCGGTTAGTTTCATATAAGGAGGAAAACGTTGGGTTCGTGAACGGAAGGTATTTATTGACCACGTCCTCGTTAATCGCATTCACATTCTAATGCCAGTTTGATCCTGTTGGTTAAACTTTCGCTCTGATGTTTCCTTACATCTGTTTCGTTGCGCGTAATAACTGGTGTGTGTGTGTGTGTGTGTGTGTGTGTGTGTGTGTGTGTGTGTGTGTGTGTTTAT